AAAAAAAAAAAAAACAATTAAAAAAAAAAAAAGAAAGCCACACTGACAGTTCTTGGAGCATCTGAGGGACAGAGAGTGAAAACTTGGTGATCCTCATTTTGGAAGTTACTTGTAAGAAAAAAGAAGAGGGGATCTGAAGTTTTAGTGATTTCACTTGTGGGGCTGGCAAGTATGGAACCTATGCTACCCCTTAATTTTATTTACCATGTTGGTATATTCTGGCAAACTCCATTATGTATTTTTGGAAGAAACTGCCCTCCCGCCTCCCATCTGTTTCTAAGCATAAACCAGCGGTGAGATGTTAGTTACATTTCTCTTTTTAAATTCAGTACTCCTATTTAAAATTATTTATTTTTCATTCTCTCATCATTTTAAAGCATTTAAAAATAAATTGACCATTTTTATAGGTGTGACTGCTCCTCTTTTTGTGTCCTTAAAAGAATTAAAGCTGGACAGTGAAAATAACATTGCTTATGTTTATTTTCACAAAAATTTTCTTTGAACTTAAAAATTTTCAGAGTCTATAAATTATAGAGTGCTCTTTTGTCGCTACTGCTAAGTCACTTCAGCTGTGCCCATCTCTGTGCAACCTCATAGACGGCAGCCCACCAGGCTCCCCCATCCCTGGGATTCTCCAGGCAAGAACGCTGGAGTGGGTTGCCATTTCCTTCTCTGATGCATAAAAATGAAAAGTAAAGTGAAGTCGCTCAGTCGTGTCTGACTCTTAGTGACCCCATGGCCTGCAGCCTACCAGGCTCCTCCATCCATGGGATTTTCTGGGCAAGAGTACTGGAGTGGGGTGCCATTGCCTTCTCCGTTGTCACTACTAATTAATGTCTATGAGAGATTGAATGTATTTGTATGATATGACTCAAATCTTTCTGTTTAAGAACAATAAAGTTAATAATAGGTGAATAAAATTCTTGCCTCTCAAATGATGGGTAAAAGAAAAAAAAATGTAAACAGCTCATACAACTTAAGATCAAAAACCCAAACAAACCTATTACAAAATAAACAGAAGACCTGAAAAGACATTTTCCCAAAGAACACACACAGGTGGTCAAGAGGTGAATGAAAAGATACAGAACATTGCTTATCATCAGAGAAATGCAAATCAAAACCACAATGAGATATCACCTCACACTTGTCAGAATGGCCATCATGAAGATGACCACAAATGACAAATTTGGTGAGGATGTGAAGAAAAGGGAACCCTCATATTCTGCTGGTGGGAATGTAAACTGGTACAGTCACGATGGAAAACAGTATGGCAATTCCTCAAGAAACTACATCATGATCCAGGAATTCCACTCCTTTGGGTATATACCCAAAGAAAATGAAAACAGTAATTTGAAAAGGTATACACACCCCAATGTTCACAGCAACATTATTTACAGCAGGCAAGATACAGAAGCAACCTAAGTGTCCATAACACTTAAATGCATAAAGAAGATTCACAAAATGAAGCATTATTCAGCCATAAAAAAGAATGAAATTCTGCCATTAGCAAGAACAGGGTAGACCTGGAGGGTATTATGATCAGGGAAACAAGTCAGACTGAGAAAGACAAATACTGTACATTACCACTTATATGTGAAATCTAAAAAATGAAGGAAACAAATGACAAACTCAGAAGTATAGAGAACAAATGAGTATCTACCAGTGGGGAGGGGGAAGAGGGGCCAGTAGGATTGGGGTGAGGGTTAAAAGGTACAAACTACTATGTATAAAACAGAGAAGCTACAAGGATATGCTGTACAGCATAGAGAACATAGTCAATATTTTTTTGTAAATTTAAATGAGTATAATCTATTGTTACAGCCTGGCGGAGCAGAGACCAGAACCTGCCCCGTGACTCGAGGGTGCAGCAAACTCTGCCCTCGTGATTGTCTTAATAAGCATGCCTAACCAACATTCTTGGGGCTGGACGTGCACTCTGCTCCGCTTCACTGCCTGCCTCTGCGTCCGTCCCCATGGAAACAAAACAAGATGTTCCTGATTAACAGCAGAGCCTTAACTTTACTCCCTCTTTATGGTGTGCTGATCAAACTCCCCAGTATAGTTATTCCCTAATGATCTCATGTGACTTCTGCCAATAAAAGTGTGACCTGAAAGGAGCCATTTTGTCTGCCTGCCATGGAGAGCAGGAGGGCCCCCTGACTCCCTGCTTGCCAAATTATTGTGTCTCTTTTCGTTATGTGCTTGCCCCCGATTCAGGTCTTTCTCACCAGCTGCGCTGGACTCGGCAATCTATGAAAATATAGAATCATTATGTTTTACACCTGAAACCAATATATAATCAACTAAACTTGAACCAAAGATTAAAAATTAAAATTGACACTGTAACTTCGGAATAAACACACACTAATAACCAAAAAGCTCACACTCACTGCTGCCATGAAANAGGACTTCTCACGGGGCATATGACAGGCCGCCATTCTGCAAAGCTGATAGTGAAATTTGCATAAACATTCTTTTCTGAACCAGGATCATTTTAGGGCAGCTTCATCCCTCTGGAGATATAGTTATCTGGAGCCCTGTTTCATAACAATCATAAATCAACCAGTATTAAGTATCAGTCATCCACATGAGAAAATAGTTATTTCTGTGCAGATGACACATATGAAAGCTACTAAAACAGTATGCTGTATAACAAGAGAATCAGTGACATCGACTGTCATTGACTGACAATCATTACATACCAGACATGTCCTGAGGAGCTTATAAGTCTTATATATTTGGGACAACTTCAATATTTGAATCTGCTCTTTCAACTGTAAACTTTGTACAGTCTAAACACTAGTCAAGGGACTTACCTGGTGGCCCAGTGGATAAAACTCCCCACTTCCACTGCAAGGGTCATGGGTTCAATCCTTACTGGGACAATAAGATCCTGCATACTCCGTGCCATGGCCAAAAAATATAAACAAATAAATGGTGGTGGTGCTTTAGTAGCCAAGTTGTGTTTGACTCTTGTGACCCCATGGACGGTAGCTAGCCAGGTTCCTCTGTCCATAGGATTTGCCAGGCAATAATACAGGAGTGGGTTGCCATTTCTTTCTCCAGAGAATCTTCCCGACTCAGGGCTGGAACCCATGTCTCCTGCCTCGCAGGCGGATTCTTTACCACTGAGCCACCAGGGAAGCCCTAAATAAATAAATGCATACTATACAAGGGCTTTCTGGGATGCTCTTCCACGGTTACAATCCTCAAATGTGGCTCAAATAAAATTTTCCAATTCTTTCTTAGATTAATTTTTCCTGGACAATTTTCCTACACATACCCTTCTCCAAAATCACATAAATACTAACACCTCTTCAGAACAATTTCTCAAAGCTATCTCAGACGCTCACTTCGAGCCATAATCCTCAGTAAGACACTTAACAGACAACTTACAACTCTTCCATTTTCAAGCGGACAACACAGTACCATGGTAGGGTCACTAGGTTCATGATAACCAGACGGCACAGGAGCCTGAGCAATCTTACTGAAACAGCGGAGATTCAAGTCCTCAAGGACTAAAGTCACGCAGGCTTTCAAACAGGGAAGCATAGTGAATGAGAACACCTCGCAGATGGTCCTAACCATAGGTATGACTTCGCTGATGGCTGGGGTTCAGGTCCGGGCGGACTCGAGACGAGAGTCCAGGCCTGTCCCAGAAGACACTTCAAAAGTTCGGGCCAATCCTGTCCTTTAACGTGCTCCTTGTATCCCAGAGCCTTCTCTTAACCTAGGCTTCACCAAGGACACGCTTAATTGCAATACAAACAACTCCGTCTCTCTCCTAACTGCGCCGAGCTGCCAGACGGAATATCGACGCGGAGCAGTGACGCTACTTCCGCTTCCCGTCCGGGCAGTTGCGGGGGCAGGTCTCTGAGATTGAATTTAGCCTAGTTCAACCAGTGCAGGAGGGAACTTGTAGTTTCTGCCCACGTTGCGGTGAGGGGGTTTGGGGTCGGTTCAGTGTGAGGACCTGGAGCAGAAATAGGCCGACCGGACGACGTTGATGCTGCAACCAGCCTGTGGCAGGGGCTCGGGGCAGGAGGGCGATCTGTAAGCCGAAGTGGTGTTGGAGGTGGGGAGAGGCCCAGCGCTGGGATTAGAGGACAGGGGACAATGGTGGTAACTCATCCAACACGGTGCTCATCAAAAGCTGTACTACCTGCCTGTTCTCAACTTCCTGGAGCGCTTAAAATGATTCTTATATGTTAATAAGCCTGCCAATCCATGACATGCTCTATCTTCTCCGTTCAGTCATGTTTGTTTTCCCTTGTTTCTTTTTATTTACATTGGACACCATGCTAAACAATAATTATTGATTCTTTTGAATATTCAGAGTAGTACGTTTTCCTTTAACCTTTGTATTTTTCTTCACGTAAGTATGTTTTTCATTTTTCTTGATATTACCATAACGTGCAAGACCTCCCATACTAAGTTGAGAAACAACACTGACACCAGGCCTTGTTTATTCATTCAGGAATAGTTCTAAATTTTCTCTGTAATCATATTTGCTGCTTATTTCAGTGGGTGACCACAGAATAGTTTATAAAAGTTTTTTTTTGGAAACCTTTAAAGGTTTTTTGTTTGTTTTTTTAAAACACATTTTACCAAAATCGTTCATGTGCATTATCAAATGTTTTATGCAGCTATCGATAGCTCTTTTGCTACATTAATGTTTCATCTACTGCAAAAAACATACTCACTTTTGGGGCTTCCCTGGTGGTCCAGTGGCTGAGACTCAGAATTCTCAATGCAGGGGGCCCCAGGTTTGATCCCTGGTCAGGGAACTAGATCCCACATGCCACAGCTAAATAATCCACATGCCACAACTAAAGATCCTGCATGCTGGAACAAAGACCCAGCACAGCCAAATAAATAAACAAATAAACATTAAAAAAAAACAACAAAAAACACATACTCACTTTTTATTTGGCCAAAGGTCTCTTTGTTTTAAATAATTTCTGGGGTTTTGCTGGCCTTAAAATTCTCTTCCAACTCTAGGTTTCATAGATTTCCTAATTTTCTTCTAAAATTAAATGTTTTTTACTGACATTTTAGTCTTTAATCCTTAAAGAATGTATTTTGGCATGTGGTGTGGGGTAATATTTCCAATTACTTTTTTCCTATGGAAAGACAGCCAATTGTTTACTGATAATCTATCCTTGACATATGAATTTGAAATTTCACCTTTAATAAATAATAAATTCCTATATACACCTATATTATATTTCAGACTCTTCTGTGCCAGTTAATATTTACTTATGCCTGTATCAGACTCTTGATAAAAATAGATTTATGTAATTTAAAAATTTAGTGGTAAAAATATAATGGAATTTTGGTTCCATTACCTTTAGCTGTTACACCATTTTCCTATACACTTAACATCTGCACGGCCGAGATTCTGCTATTTCTATACATTTGCATTTTCTAGAATTTCATGTAAATAAAGTCATCAATAATTTTTTCACTTAGCGTATTTTTCAAGATTCATGTGCTTTATAGCAAAGATAATTTCTTTTTATTGCAGAATGATATTCCATTTATTTATTCACCAGTTGATGAATGTTGGGTTGGGTTGTTTCCACTTTGTGCATGTTATAACTAATGGTGCTTTGAAAATTCATGTATGTCCTTTTGTCCAGATGTATTTTCATTTCTTTTGGGTAGCTATTAGGATTATCCAGAGAAACAGAACAAATGTGTATATATACACATATATACAGACATATACATATTAGATACCTATATAGATATGTATGTATGTATGTGTGTGTGTGTGTGTGTGTGTGTGTGTGTATAGTATATATCTTCTATTATTACCTACCAGGGAAGGACAGAAAACCAAACCAGTTAAAGTAATCATTATCAATTTGATTCCTTTTATGGATGACTGGAGCTAAACCCCACCAAACCCTTCTGAAGTACATCATGATATGTCTCTCAGAACTTTCCAGTCAGTAAATGAAAAGACAGCAGCTCATCCATTCTATGGGCCAGAGGTGGTCCCAGAGAGATTAGCATACCTCTATGTCTGAGTTATATATACATTTCTGAATACAGAGCAGATTTTCTCAAGTGTCCCATAGTGTGGTATCAAAGAAGCTTTAAGGCAGAAAGCAGGAGGTATACGGCATGGGCCTATGGCAAGGTGTTGTCCAATTGCAGCTGGGCAAAACTTGTCACAGCTTCCACTGAAATAATTACAGTGCAGATCTCTCCTCCCCTCATGTAGCACAAATGTAAGCTGACCCTGATATAACCCTACTTTAATGAATAAGACCCCCCACTCCCCCCTCAAAGCTCCTGCACTAAAGAGATACTTGTCTGCTGTTACACCACGTGGAAAGACACACTGCTGAGGTGTAATAGCATCTTTTATAATGTCCCTGCCACAGGGATGCACAGGCCACCCTTTATGTATCAAGTGACAGAACACTGAGGAGGGAGAAAAGGCCATGGGAAGACAGCTGCCTGTGAGAGCAGCAGGCTTGGGCAAAGAGGGAAGAAGGAACCAGAGCTCCATTGACTGCAGGGTCTCAGAAACAGAGGACAAAGCAAATGGGGAACTCAATGGATGGCACCATTGGGGACTGAGGTTGACAGCTATGTCCAAAGTTGTCTGGTGCAGAAAAGGCCAATGTGTGGAACTTCCCTGGTGGTCCATTGGTTAAGACTCAGTGCTTCCACTGCAGAAAATGAGAGTTTTATCCCTGACAAGGTAACTAAGATCCCACACATCAAGGTGCATGGAAAAAGAAAAGTCCAATGTGAAGCATTAATGACCCAGGAAAAGTGGGGTAACAGTCACAGCCATTCCCATCATCATTACGGTTATGTCCACAATGGGGCAATCAAGCAGTCAGTCTCCATGGCTGTGTCCCTGTGGAAGGAGCCAGTCAATTTACCTCACAATAGTGCATTAATTTCACTGTTGCTGATGATACTGAGGATTTCCCCATAGGGGTTTCCAAGTCACTGTCAGTTGTAACCTTTCTTAAGAAGGAAGGGCTCTGCCCCTTCTCGGGGTGGGGGGGGGGGGCTTGGTTTTTTTCCTCCACTTGGGCTTGTTTAGTGCCTCTTCTGACTGTGTTCTGATTTTTAGGTCTCTGGGTCAGTTTTCTGCTGAGGAGTTGACAATCAGCATTGCTGTGATCACAAGTCCCAGTAAATTTTGTATGAGGGAAAAGGTATAAAGACTTTGGTGAAAGATGTTAATTTAAAAGGTTTCAGGGGTCTTTGCTAGTGGTCTGGAGTGAAGAATTTGACTTCCAGTGTAGGACACATAGGTTTGATTCCTGGTCAGGGAACTAAGATCCGACACTCCATGGGGCATTAAGCCAGCACAAGGCAGTTAAATCCACACACCGTAACCACTGAGCCTGTGCCCCAGTGGAGACCCAATACAGACAAAAATGTTTCAGGGTAGCAGCTAAAATGAAAGTTGTTGTTCAGTCACTCAGTTATGTCTGACTCTTTGCAACCCCATGGACTGCAGCATGCCAGGCTTCCCTGTCCATCACCATCTCCTGGAGCTTGCTCAATTGCTCAAACCCATGTCCATTGAGTTGGTATGCCATCCAACCATTTCATCCTCTGTCATCCTCTTCTCTTCCTGCCTTCAATGTTTCCCAGCATCAGGTCTTTTCCAAAGAGTCAGCTCTTTGCATCAGGTGGCCAAAATACTGGAGCTTCAGCATCAGTCCTTTCAATGAATATTCAGTACGGATTTCCTCTAGGATTGATTGGTTTGGCCTCTTTGCAGTCCAAGAGACTCTTACCAGTCTTCTCCAGCACTGTAGTTCAAATGCATCAATTCTGTGGCAGTCAGTTTTCTTTATGGTCCAACTCTCACATCCATAGATGACTACTGGAAAAACCATAGCTTTGACTATACGGACCTTTGTTGGCTAAGTAATGTCTCTGCTTTTTAATATGCTGTGTAGGTTTGTCATAGCTTTTCTTCCAAAGAGCAAGCATCTTTTAATTTCATGGCTGCATCACCATCTGTAGTGATTTTGAAGCCCAAGAAAATACAGTCTGTCACTGTTTCCATTGTTTCTCCATCTATTTGCCATGAAGTGATGGAACCAGATGCCATGATTTTAGTTTTCTGAATGTTGTTTTAAGCCAGCTTTTTCACTCTCCTCTTTCATTGAATATCGGGCTTGCCACCCAGAGGTCATTCTGCTACAATATGTAGATGACCTTATGTTGGCTGGAACTACAGAGGAGGCATGCAGCCGTGCCACCAGGGACCTCTTACAGACCCTAGGAACCTTGGGGTATCGCTCTAGTGCAAAGAAGGAGCAAATAGCCCAGCAAGAGTTCACCTATTTGGGGTATAAGATCAGGCAGGGGCAAAGGTGGTTAACCCAGGCCATGAAGGAAACAATATTGCAGATACCAGAGCCCAAGACCCCCCGCCAGGTGCGAGTTTCTGGGGACTGTTGGATATTGCAGACTGTGGATCATGGGGTTTGCTGAGAAGGCCCGGCCCTTGTATGAGGGAAGTAAAGAGACCCCAAACTGGACTTGGACTGAGCCAATGAAACAGGCTTTCCAGACGCTCAGACAGGCCCTACTAGAAGCCCCAGCCCTTGCCCTGCCTAACCCAAATAAGCCATTCCAGCTGTTTGTAGATGAAAAGCAAGGAATAGGAAAGGGGGTCTTGACACAACAATGGGGACCATGGAAGCGGCCGGTGGCATACCTTTCGAAGTGACTGGACCCAGTGGCCGCTGGGTGGCCCCCTTGCCTTCGCATCATCACAGCCACTTCCCTCCTCGTCAGCG